ACGCGGACGAAAGCATTTATCCATAAATAATGTGCAAAGGCTTGTACTCATTTGCGAAGCAACGAATATATACATGCTGCTTGTGTGTGTGAAATTTGTTACACGCTAAAGTCTCTCCTTTCCCTCTTCTCCGCTGGTTCCTCTTTAATTAATTAACAATTTACACCGCCACGACGTTCTTTTCTTTCTTTTTTTTTTATGTATACTCTAAAATATCTCTGAGCTTAACAATATCATGAAGGCACTGTTTACAGTTCTATCAAGTCGATTTTTGCCTTGTCTTCGCTGTACCGGATACAGATCGATCCGTCATCGTGTTTACGGCAGGTGGATTCGTTCGATTATACATATTTATTCATCGACGCAGTGCGCGCGAGTCAAGAAGAAAAAAAAAGAGATGTATAAACTAAACTCGATGACGTGCGATCCAACCGTAGGAAAATTGACATAACTCGATCAGATCTTTTTGTTATGCGGGAGAAGTCAGACATGGTCACGTGGCTACTCCCATAACGCGCAAGAAACTTTTTTGTCATGGCTCTGTACAATCGGTACTTGAATCGCGATTAAAAATTGTGCAAATTTGCAATGGCAGTATCGAGTCAGCGCCTTCGCGCGTGCAAAATTTCGTCGAGTTTATAAAATATTACGCTCGACAGAGAGATTAGACTTTGTGTACCCAGATAGCCAAAATGCAATATATCAGTAGTTGCCAGCAAATTCAATCATGATTTTAGAGCAAATTTCTATCTATTGTATCCTCCTTAGTTTGATTTTTATCATTACGATTTGCCATAATGTAATAACGGAAATACAGCAGAAATGGAGCATACTTTGCCATCATGATGTCATAATTTAGCAAACATGATAACGTTAATTGTCGCTAGTTTGATACTAAGATACTGATAATTAGATTGATAGTTAGATTGACTAAAATAACGACAACTAAGCTTGTTTGATGCAAGATCTGCTCGTTCGATACATTTCTACCGATATTAGGAAAATAATAAACTATCTCGACACCGTGTGGTTGCTGGTGTTCTACTGCAATACACAGTTTGCAATACATCGATCTCTTGGCAAATTCGGCTATCTGGCTAATTAACGTCAACGGGCTGACGATGCACTATAAAAAAGGATCCAGGCTCGTTTTTATTCAGGAGAAAATACCACAGAAAATATTCAAACACCACTGACAGCGAGAACTACAGTTTCGGCTAGTCGTGAGGCGCGCAACCAATCGGCTGCGCCGATCGCGAAAGGCCTTTAGATACATACTCGAGATAATTATACTGGTCCTGCAAATGCGCCCACGCACGCTTGTTTATTAAAAGTGTGTTCATATCTTCGTAATTTCTTGCGTGGGAACGCCGTTTGAAAAGGCACTAAAGCCGGATTTAAAACCTGTTGGCATTGCTGCGAGCTTGTGAAAATTCTGAAACGATACAATAAAGACGGTACCATTGCGAAATAAATCATTACGAAGGCACGAACAAAGCCGATCGATTTCAGAAGCAATCTTCGTGATACGTTTCAGTTTTTTTCTCTCATTTCTTTGTAATAGCACCGTCTTTGAAAGGATATATTTAATATCGTTGGTAATGCAGACGAGTCTTAAATCCAACTCTGTTGCACAAGTGTTGAACGATCAGAAGCACCTTTTGCCTTCAGATCCCGAGACGCCGGAACGATTTTTACAATTTATGCGTTTTTACCTTTGAACTTTCGCTTCCCTCTTTGATTGTCCGTAATCACGTAATTTGCGTAAAGTTCGCGGGAAGCGAGGTAACAATCGACGAAGACGGCGCCGTTTCTTTATCGTTACCTCTATTTTCACTTGTTGATACCTTTCTGAACGCGTTAGGGGAAGGGAGTGGCGAACGAGAGTCCGCGGTTGAGGATGATTCCCTTTCATCCGTACGATCCCGCGGCTGTAATCGCGCGTCCTCCTGCCCCTACTCCGACGATCAAACGGTCTCCGGATTGTTCTGCATGTATCTGCACCACGACTGGCCGTTGTTGTTGCCCTCGGGGCATTGAAGCAATTCTCAGTCGTCAAAGTCGTGCCTGAGCTTTATATAGAGGCAGGAACCGAGAACGATGCCGAAGAGCTCGAGGACAGACAGACCGAGCCCGACAGCGCCCAGGATTATCAGGTGGTCCTTCGTCGTTTCCAGGAACTTGTAAATGCAGCCCTAAAATGATAGACATTTATCGATCTTATGTAGAAATTACATACTTCTGTCGGAGAAGATTATTTATTCGCGTCGATATTTATTCTGAAAAATTACAGTTCTTGGCCATATTAGACGATTCTATTTTTTATAATTTATTGAGTTAAAGGGATCAAATTTATATTATATTATGATCTACTTATTATTGTCGTAATTGAATAAAATATAAGGTCTGTTCTTTGTCGCTGCACTAAACTGCACTAAAATATGAATTGTTTTAATACGATATTTACTTAACACTTACAATGTCCGTGAAAAAGTATAAACTTATTAACGGTTGCACATAGAGGGACGACAGCAAGGAAGGCGTGTTTTCTGTTTTTCTAATAAAAATTTTGTTTTATTTATTTATTTGGTATAGTAAACCTTAATTTAAACATTACATAATATTATTATCCCTAAAAAAACGTCTTTAAAAAAGAAAAAAATATATGCCAAACACATAAAAATGATATTGAATATTACATTCCTTTTAATAAAAAACGGATATGAAGTAAATGCAATTAGCCAAGTATTTCATAACGCAAGATACATAATATAGATTGAAAGTGATTAAAATGGTCAACAGGATTATAGTGAAGAAAAAAATTTGGCGTGCCCTGGTTGTATTAAAATGCAATATTCTAGGATCAATACCTTTTTCCATAAGAGTTTTTGGTGGATGCAAGTAAAACTACAAATATAATGTCTTTGACAGTTATATTAATAACAAAAGAGGAAATTCACTTTTTAGACATGTAAGGTAAACATAGTTGTCATTTCACTTAAGACAAATCTATCAAAAATCCGTACGTTCTAATATTATAGTTGGGAACTGTAAATCAAAGGTATAAACCCGCAAATTTTCAATACATCTTTTGGCCTTTAATATCTTACAATAATAATGTCATACTTATAGGAAAAGATTTATGCTTTCTTTCTTTCTAAGAAAATTAATTGAATTTAAGTACAGGCTAATGTCACATCTGATAATCAGTCGAGGAAAGCAGAAGTCGCAGCAGACATACCGTGTACTGAATATTGGAGGGATGATCCCTTTTCCCGCAAAGTAACGTCGGCGTCTTGCAGCAGCTGTCAGGTACGACGCTGCCGTTCTTGAGGACCTCCTCATCCTTATGCCACTCGCTCACGAGCCAGTCCTCGAATCTCAAGGCACCGCAGCATTTGAACTGCAAATTTCAATAATAATGTCTCTCACGATAACATTGGGAAGGCTGAAGAAAGTAGGTGAGTAGTTCCCGCGTGCCATGCATCCGTTATGTAAATATATTTCTCTCAGCTGTCTTTACTGAAGAAATTTTTAATTACTCTGTGAAAAAGGAAAGAAAGGACTTGATAATTAAAAATTTTATGACTTTGAATTAAAATAAATTGAAAATTCATTAAAAGATATATAAAAATATGATACTTTCTCGACCATGGGGCACGATACCATACTTCTTAATAACAAATAATTTTTTATAAACGATAATGTGTATGTATCAAAGGAAAAAGGGACAAATTTGTAACCGCATTAGAGCTTAGTCCGTTGTTAATTGTAAAGACAGAGAAAGGCCCATCTTTCTTATTCTCCAGTTCCGTTTACGACGTGCGCAATATAAAGTATACGCGGATAAGGCAGAAAGGGGGAACGATGATAGCGGCGATAGCAACGATAATAGCCGCGTGCGATAATAACGATAGCAGGACGCGTTATACGCCTGAGCATCGTGCAGTCATTGAGAAAGGAGGGTCAGAGGGAGCCAAGGGAGAATGGAGGGGAGTAGATTAATGGAGGTGAGAAACGTGTTCCGGCGGCGGCAGCAAGTTAAATGGTAACTTTAATGCGGGCACGTAATCCCGCGGGATTCATCGTGCGCCGGAACCATTAGTCGCGATAAACACTTCTACGGATCCTTTACACGTGCAGGCGTTACGGTCAACGAATTTCGCCTTCCTTCCTGAACACGCATAATTCGGCCGTCCCATCGTCTTGCATTAGAAGACGTGCTAAGATTAATCTAGAGACTAGATACAGATAAGCTACACGGTGTATCCAATTTGAGTTATTTTTCATCATTTCTGTAAGTGGTCATTGCCCCTACTCAATATGTCATTCATTTGATTAAAACACATATAACAATAGAATTAAATAATTTAACTCAATATATTAATTTAGCTTACATTTATTATTTACTAGGTGCATATGTTAATATGACCCCGTTTACTTTGAAATTATTAACCATAAGTAATTCAACTATACATGCAGGTTGAATTACTTAGTAATTTCAAAGTTATCAGCGGAAAATAGGTTGATTAAATACGTTTTTTCTTTAATCAAATATTTCGAATTAAAATAATACATTAATGATTAAAATAATACACCCTTGGAAGATAAAAATAATAAAATGTTATTTAATTTAAGAGAAATTGGTTTAAATTTAATTCTTTAATATTGAACAATGCATAAGACATTCTTCATTTAATTTTAATTTTTTGTTTCACAATAAAAATCTTAATATAATTATTTTCGTAATATAAATAATAATCCTCTTTTTAAGTAAATTGGAAAAATAACAAATAAAAATTAAAAATATTTGATGAACTTGCACAGAGGCAGCATTTGTTACAACTCTTACAACCGCGATCAATTATTTATCATTTTCTGAATGGATGCCTCCGAAGGACTCACCAGAAAAGAAACCTTTTCTTCGGAAAAACGAAATGCATTCGAACACGTAGACGTGTATTCGTTTATGTAGATATCTTAGATGCGACTTTCGCGTTATAAAAACTTATTGTGTAAAAATCGCGTGAAGAATGCACGAACTTTGTGCAAGTAAAAAACTATGTGTCAAGTTCTCTCGTTTAACCCTCCGGCGCTGATAGTAGATCTATAGAATCCATTCAATTATATTCTTTATATTACATTTGCAAATTTAAATTCTTATTAAAATAAATATAATATTCATACATACTGAGAAAATTTTCCGGTTGAAAATAATCGGTTGAAACAAAAAATTCTGATCAATCAGAATTCTGGTTATCTCTAACTAAAATTATAATAGATGCAACCTAAAAATTCAATATTTATCCATTCTCAATCAGAATTCCAATGAACTTTTTTTCAGTACATGCATTCTTTTTTATACGAGTTATGTTATTTTGGTTCTTTAAAATGAATTTGTCTTTAAATTAGTACAGATTAAACAGATTTCAGACTAAGCATCAATTGCGATACAGATTTTGACTTTAGCACCAGTAGATTCGTATCAATAAGAAAATCATTCGACTTCGTCCTCGACTGAGATAAAATCTAAATTAAAGAGAATATAGGAAGAACGTAGAGATAAAGTTTTAGTGAATATTCCACGTGAGAGATATATCAAAAAGATTTTCGTGCGCGCGTTCGTCACAGTACCGATGTATACGAGACATTTATTTCCGTTCGCGGAGTCGCCTTAAAAATTCCCGACGAGCGCTGTCGCGGTAAAACTCGATTTCCCGAACGGAATGAAATGCTTGTACACGTAGATCCTCTGTGTATAAATAAAATGCGAATCCTGAATTTCTCGCTTGCCCGACAGTTTCGCCAATTTCGGCGGACGAGAGGGGGTTTAACGTCGTCGTGCATTCCGCGTGAAGAAATGGAAACGAAAATCTCCTCGGGCGCGGCCAATGAGATCCGACAGAAGGGTGAAAATTGCGAGGCTCGATTTATCAGGGTAATGGGTATAGTGGGAGCGACTTAGCCGCCGCGCCATTATCAGTGCCGTAAATCGCATCACGTGTGCGCTTACAAGTCTAATCCAAATCAAGATGCTGCAGTCGGCGCAAAGGGGATCGAGATTACATGCACGCGATTAATACCCTGCGCGACGGAAATGTCCCTTTAAAATAGGCATTATGTGCGCGATCCTGCACTATCACTCATCCGTCGAATTAATTCTGCAAATATAACGAGCAACTACCTTAAGCCTACGATTAACAGCTTCGACTACTAAATGTAAATTTTCGTTTCGATTTTTGCGGGACGTATAAGCGCATTCGGAAGAGCGATGACGCGCAAAGCGACGACATCGCGCAAAAATATGAGACGAAACCGCCAAGTTTTTCGACGCGAGCTCACTGTGGCACTAATCGATTTATAGCGAATGGGCGGGAAACTGTTCCGCGATGCGATAACGATGATTTACTATTGTAAGGTTCTCGTAAGAGAGTACCATCGTCGGCGGAGGACATAAATAAAAGTGCCCTGCTCGCGTGATATCGTGGGCACAAAAGCCGCCGCCACCGAGCCATTTCGAACTGCATTCGTAAATTAACGTCGAGCAACTCCGAGATGACGCGGGTGTGGCTTTCTTCCAATCAAGGAAACGCGAAGAGCCATGTGGCGTTGGAGCTGCTGTTATCATTGTACAAAATATAATGTATATAAACTTAAATTGAATTAAACTATCAAAGAGATTATATTTTCGCAAAAATTCCGCAAGTATTATAATATATGCACGAGAGTTATTAGGACATCGGCCGCTATTAATAGCGAAATGTCTCTTTAGTGCGTGAAAAAGAGGGTATGAAAGACATATTTATTGATATTATTCTTACGAGAAGTGATTTTTTTTAATCTCTCATTAATATTTAGTAGATTTATCATTATTTAAATATATACAGTGAATGTAAAAAGTATTCGTATATCAGAGGGGATTTGTATTAGAAAAAGTATTTATAGAAACTAAACATTAATTCGAAATTTATTAATGAGTACGTTTTGTTCTAATATAAACAAAAAAAAAGAACGCCAACATAATCATAACTTAAGAAATTAAATATTTCTCGACTATACAAATATTTTTTGTACTTCCAAATAATACAATTTTTCATTTTTAAAACTTTAAGCTTTCGCATTGGAAAGTTGAAAATTTTCTCAAGTTTTGTTGGACACGTGACAGAAAGTGACACAAAGTGAAGAAAATTTCTCATTTTTGTCCAGTTTGTAGTTTTCTATATGTTAAAATTATCAAATTTACAGAAACTCAGCAGAAATAGTGACTTTTGAAAAGTAGAGATTTTAAGCTTTAAAACCCTTTTGTAAATTTAATTTCGTTCATTTTTTACGAAGTTACAGTTACTTGAATTTTAAAGTTTACAGTACTATGAACTTTTGTTCCATCCCAATACATGCATATTACTATGTTTCGTATACCGCTTTTACCATTTTACATATGATGAACTAATCACTTAGTGTTTATTTTTTCAGAACCTCTAATTCCCAACAAAGAAAAATCATTCTCAAATTGGCCACAATTGTTCATGATTAAAAGGGTACTCGCCGATTCTGGAACATCCTCCATTTGCCAACGACGATCATATTACGTATTGACAAGCCATACGAAACGTTTTCAGTAAACACTCAACGCCGGTATCATATTGCGTATTTCTGATGGCACCGCAACGATGAAGCACCATTGAAGCTGCGCAAAAACGTTACTTGGGGAAAGTCCATAGCGCACAAGAGATGCAGAACGGGAATAAAAATGACAACGAGGGAGGAAATTGATACCGTGGAGTGCACCGGTATTCGTGATATCGAAATACTGGTCGGTGCGTCCTATTTTGTTCGCAATTGTACGACGGACGACTCTTCAAGCGCAAACGGCCGTATATATGTATATCGCGGGTCGGCCTGAGAAATAAATAAGAAATTCTTTCCGATATGCGGGAGCTCTGCGTACTTACTTCTTTCTGCATCTGGTCGATGGCCGCGGTTTCCCGGGATCGCACAGCATAGTTCTCGAGGAAAGTGCGATTTAAATTCATCTTCAATTCGGGGCCAACTTGTTCCTCATACAGACGCGCCAGTGCACCGACTCCAGCTTCCAGAACGAGTACTGCCATCACCACGAAGACGTACTGTGTCGACAGAAGAGAGACAAGAGGGTTTAAGATTGGTTAAAACAACATCGGGATAGTCTTCCTGCAATTACGCGGTTACAACTCAGCATTTAACGCCTTTATCTTGGCTAATGAAAGGAGCGACGATGAAAGAGCAACGAATGTCTCTCCGTCTAACTGAATGGAAATTCCGATAAAAGCTGTCGAGTGAATTTTATCGGTAAAAAAAAAAGAAAGAAAAAGAAAAAGAAAGTGGAACGGCTTTTAATAATGAAGAAAGAAAGAACCGACTTGTCTCTTCAAGTAAATGCACACTCGCTTTATGTCTGAAAATAATTCTCCGAAATGACGTATGAAAGAATGATTTCTAACGTGCGCACTCTTCACAAACGTGATAAAGCCCGAGATTGAATCTGTCAATTCTACCGTTATATTTTCACACAGAGAAGCTTCACGCGTTATATAACGGTATTTATTTTCCGCGCCGTTCTCTCTCCCCATAGCTTTTTTCATGCCAAATCATTGATACACCCGATTCAAAATACGGATATCTCTGATGTACGCTTTCTATCGAAAAATGTATTTTTCGCGTGAAATGGCGTATTCTGCGTATAAAATTTTAAGTAAAAATTATATATATATATGTATATATATAGAGAGAGAGAGAGAAAGAGCGCAGGTTCTAAAACGAACGATGTTTAGTACCGTACTTTTGGATAATTTGTAATACGGATTTACACGGAGCAAAGCCACCGGGATATACGCAGAGTCACCTCGTTCTTTCGGAGTCATCGTCCTTCATCTCTCTCTCTCTCTCTCTCTCTCTCTCTCTCTCTCTCTCTCTCTCTCTCTCTCTCTTTTTTTTTCGAAGTACAAGCTAGCGCAACATATTAAAATTGCGTAATGTCCACCAAAGCTTTTCAGACTTTTCATGAATATAAACCCCTGCCGAGGGACGGAACGCGCGCCACGGCAATCCCCCTTTCCTATGAATATTCAAACCTTGGTGACTAACTATCGCTCGTTCGTACTTTCGCAAGATTTTGCGACCCGGAAGAGAGGAGAACGTATATTGAGAAACATGAGAGAGGGAACTTTTTCTTATTTAATAATACGAACAGTTATTAATTCTGTTCTACGGAGTGGCTTATGCATTAAGGCATCGCGCTTAGCTTCTCGCGTAAACTTAGTTGAATCGCGAGAGAGCAGAGCGTGTATCAGCGTGGATGAAATATTGGCCGATATATGTATACGGAGAAGAGGAAGTGCATGGAGAGCTGCATTGGCAGCTAATTTGTGATTGATTCTCGGCTACGCAGGGAATTAAGCCAATATCGCACGACTAAACGATGTCTACGCTTTCGCGTAGACATTTAGTATTCCTGGTTTAATACATGTAGTGATGAAAATGGTAAATGGTGTCGCAGAAACTGAAAGATTGATGGGAGCTTGCTAAAACTCATGATTTAAACATTTTAAGGGGATACGTCTACATTGACGAATCTTTTGAGATTGTTACATAGCACTATTGTGTTGCGTTCCATAAAATATTTCAATCCGCACAATTATAATAAATCATTCCAAGGCAATTCTAAATTTATATTATTAAATTCGTAATGTCAATTTATATCCAATTTGAATTATTTTTAATCATTTCTACAGGTCGCCGTTGCTCCTATAGAATATCAATATATTGTTAATTTAACTAAAACAATGGAGTTAAACAATTTAATTCAAGAAAATACATTAAATATATTCGACCCAAATTTAATTTATTATTTAATAAATACGTTAATAATAAGCGTTATTTACAGTGAAACGTACTAACCACGGAAATAGATTGATTTATATTTTGACACACACGGAAGTTCGAAATAATAAAATATTATTTAGCTCAAGGAAAATCGGACTTACTTGCTCTTTTAATATTTACAGTATACACGGTAAATACGGTTTTGCTGAAGTATTTAAAAATTTGGCTAGACGTAGATTAGAAAATAATTTTGTTGGACTATGAAAATAATTATATATAGGACGTTCAAATTGATTGCTAAAATATAAAAATTGTTTGCAACATTGCTTATCATGTTTAAGTTTCCTAAATTATTTTCAAGGTCCAACAAAATCATTCTTTCCGTGTATATAATATTATATATTAAAAGAAAGATTATTTTGATGGTTCGACAAAATAATTTTTAGATTTGTGTATATCTAATAAAAGTATTAAATATCTTTCAGCAAAATCATTGTTTCCGTGTATATAAAAAATAAACAAATAATGTAATTTACGAAATTTTTTGAGAAAGCCTTTAGAATATAAGAGTTTGAAGATAAGCTGTTTAATTATAACCAGAATGGAGCAGTGTAAAGATATACGCCACGTTTGCGGAAAACCGCGTTCACCTCGACCTTAAAACTGATTAACAACGTGCTCTTTCAGTTTCCCAATTAGATCGGGACGTGCAAGTTAAACGTATATGCGAGAAATTAGAGCAGCCAAGAGTGAGTAAGACGATGACCGATCGGGTTCCCGCGTAAACGCATCTAGTCCAGATGCGGAGTAAAACATGGAGTTTGCGACGCAATAACGCATGATAATTCGTAATAACAGATTGCCCGCGAGCAAACGAGCGACGACGCGAGGTGAATGTTCTACGTCGACTTTCATCTTCGTAGTCGTTAGTCAGTATCCGTTTCAGTCATTAAGTCGGAACATAGGGAGCAGGCAGAGATGAACACACGCGGATCGCAACGCTTCCGCTTCGCATCAGCCGTTACTTGGAACTCCAGAGTGCGTTGGGAGTAACATTGAGAGGTTGCGACATCCGCTGCCGATCTCGGTACCTACATGTGCTATATATCCAAGTGTACGTACATATTAGTAACTAAGTCAATAAATCGTACGGGATGTATATACGTTATGGCGGAAACGATGCGGAGAGGGTAGGAATGGCAATCGACAGTTTGCAATTGGTGAGGAGGCTGACAGTGAAGGGGAGAGACGATAGATTAAACGCACCAATTGCTTTTTCACTATATATCTTTGTGTGTGTATGTGTTTGTGTAATAAAAGAAAAACACGAGCGCGCACACATGTGCGTGCGCGCAATTTTGACCACGAGACGGAAGCCAGTTGAACGTTCTCGAATAATAGTTAGAGACCGATGCTTTGCGGGGCTAACGGGGGGCGTCGGAAAACGTGCAACCTCGACTATCAAGTAAAGCTTGTTGAAACAAGCAAATCGAAACTCGAAGCACAAACCTGGAACACAATAACCCGTGGGAAAAAGAGACATGACCAATGTATACAGCAGAGTACACGGTCCAAAACTCTAAAGAGTCTAAAGTGTGTATATATTGTAGGATTTCATTAACGCCCTAAGTAATATTACCTATATATTTAATACCTTACATTGTAAAAATTTTCAAAATATATAACTTTTATAAACTATAATATAGAGTAGATAGGATTTTTTTTAAAGAACTTCATAATGAAAAAGCGTAATGTAGATTATGGAAAAAAGATTTTTACGCTACCTTGTAAATCTTTCTTAAATCAAGCAGGAAATGTTAGTTTTCTCTTTCTTTAGCATATAATATCCGCAGTATTTTAGAATTGCAGCGAATGTTGGAACTTGCAATAAATTTAGTTAATGTTTTTAATCTTCTGAGCATGGATAGCATCCTATTGTGTTCGTCGTTATGCACAGTGCAGCAAGATAAACTTCGTCTTGAGATTACCGTCGCGAGACATTGAGAATGGAGTTTAAGCCGGTCATGGTTCTTGGACTTAACACGAACCTGTGATGGAAACAAGAGCAAGTACCGGATTGCGAGTCGCATGGAGAAGACAGACCATGAATGCACGGATGAGTACTGTATATTTGACGAGATGCCAATTACAACTATTGCTCTAGTAGGAACTTCAACATAAAATAACTATTCACTATCGTCATATCTTAATTAATGATTATACCTTAATGAGATTTAGACGTTTACTAAGTTCGTTGATCTTTAGAAAGCAAGTCTATTTTTTAAATCAGTTACAGTTTTTCTCCTTGAATTAGTCAAATTTGATATAATTTATTATTTCATTGTATTTCTTCTCGAAATATGACAATGAAATTGTTCCGGTGCTACTGTAGTGACTCACACATTCTGTGAAGATTAAAAAGAAATTAAAGCATTTCTATTGTATTAAATAGTACAGTTACTGCTTTAACAAAATATTGTGGCTAGATATATAATCCTCCGGAGCTGACGTTATTTTGTAACATAGTTACTGACGCTCGGCGTCTTATATGTACATATACATATAACACCTATTTAATTTATGTTAATAAAGGGGCACTAATTAATTTCAAGAAACCAAAATGACATAATTAGCGTAGAAAACAAATGAATACTAAGTATAATTTAATAAGAATAACTCAAATTTGCAGATGTGACATAAAAAATTGAATTGTTTGACATTTTTAATAAAGAAATTCATATGATTGAGTGGATCCAATAAAAATCTACCGTCAGCTCCAGAAGATTAAAATAATACAATATCTATAAGCGCCGTAAAATGTTGAGAATCAAATATATAATTTAAAAGTCAGGCATTAAACAAATCAATTCTATATTTCTAAGAAATCATACTTTGAATACTTTTAAACGTGATTCTAGATCAGAATTCTGAGAAATGCACGGGTCGACACACAAACAAACAAAATCGATCGCAAAAAATAGACTGAGCAGACCATGCATTATGTACCTATAACTTTCTCCGTGTATGTACTCATAAAGCCTTTTCTCTCCTCCGTCGAGTCGCCAACTCGTGTTCATTATGTGGATTTACCTACCCAACACCGGCAAAAATCTTAATTGAGTACCATATAAGGTCTTGGCTAATGAGACGGTTCGCTCGTGCCATCCGTGTATAGATGGTGAAAGGGAGCAGAGGACCAACAGGAAAGCCGAGGCAAAAGGTTGCCGAGGCAAGAAGGCCTTCCAGGGAGGTGGCTTTCTTGCCT